ACCGCGAGATCGTGACCTGGCTGAAGTCGGACGCTTAACCAACTGCGCCACCCAGGCGCCCCCTAAGGTTGTTTTTAAAGAAAGGTCTTTAGATTCATATTCTCTTTGTCTCTCTGTGGTAGTAACCCTAAGACAGATTCTTAGGGTGCTCCAACGTCAATATTGAATGTTACTACAGCGGCCTGCTTAGGACAAATTATTACAGTCGTGGAGACGAAGAATGTTTGCTGTTGTAATCATACAGCGTTGGTTTCAAAACCTGGCTCCACCACTTACTGCTGCGTGATCGTAAGCACATGACTAAATAACTTCTTGAGCTTCTATCTCTTTAATTTAATTTCTCATCCAAATATACAGGAACAGGCATACTGTGTTTCATTAAATCAAACTTGCAACTTACAGTGTTTGTCACTTATGGTAAAGGCTGGTTAATTAGGAATGTTAACCAAAAGAACTTTTTTTCCCCCTCTCTGTTTCCACTTCTCTTTAAGGAAACATAAGCAAAAAGACTAGAAGAGTTAGAGTTGATTATTGGAGAGTTCACCTTCAAGGGGCTAGCCCACACTCCCTGCATACCCCACCTGTTCCCCAAGTTCTAGCCTGACTGCCTCTCTGCTGCATCTCCTGGAGTCTGGCACAGTTTTTCATACTTTGTACTTGTTCTGTAAACATGTGTTAGATGAGTGAAGATATAGCCTCGGCTCTAGCTAGCCTGAGCTATTGCTGTTGTCTACACATGGTCTGAATTTTCCTGCTTCCATGCTGTTATTTGTATTTCGAGTGCTTCTCCCAGTCATGGCCATATGGACTTGGGGTTGGAGTTACTGATGTCTTGTCTTACCCATCTAAGAAGCCAGTAGGCTCCTTGTAGGCATCGGCTCTGCTTTCTTCATTTAAAACAAAAAAAATTTTTTTTAATGTTTATTTATTTTTGAGACAGAGAGAGACAAAGCATGAATGGGGGAGGGTCAGAGAGAGAGGGAGACACAGAATCTGAAGCAGGCTCCAGGCCCTGAGCTGTCAGCACAGAGCCCGACGCAGGGCTCAAACTCACGGACCGTGAGATCATGACCTGAGCCGAAGTCGGATGCTTAACTGAGCCACCCAGGCGCCCCCGCTTTCTTCATTTCTGAAGAAACACTGCATCTGGCACATTATACATTAACAGCTATGGAGCACTTGCAAGGATTTCAGTCAATGTGAGTTACCTATCTTTGCTTATTTAACGCCCATATACCTTTGTGAGATAGGTAGTATTATTAGCCCCATTTAAAAGATGAGAAAACTGTAGGCTTAAAGAAATTGAATAACATATCAATAGAAAGTTTGTTGAACTTGATGGAATTAAAGTGGGTCTCTAAGGGCTTTGGTGGTTCACAGACAGGACCTGCAGTCCCAAGGGATGTCTCTGATAATGGAGGAAAAACTTCTCTGTTGGAGAGCAGAGCTGCCCACAGAACTGGACTTTGCGAAGTAGAAATGTGGGCTGATAAAATGTTCATCCTTCATCTCAAAAAGGATGGTTAAGAATTATTAACCATAGTAATAACCATATTATCGTCTCCTAGCTTCAAAACAACCTTGAGACGTAAGTCAGCTATTATAGTCCCATTTAATGGATGATGAAGCAAAAGCCTAGAACGAAGTGATAATAAGAGGTGGAGTTAGGACTTATACCCAGGCCTTGTCATTCTTAGCCAAGATTCTTGACTATGTTCTCCTTTAATACAGCAAGGCAAAGCAAACAAAGAATCCACAAACAAACAAGTGTTAAAGGTAGAAGATTCTCATAGGAGGTACCTTCTGGGAGCAGAGGTGTTTCTTTCTGGGAAGCAGCTGGGGAGAGGGCTGATTTGAATACAAAGTCTGCTGGGGAGCTTCTGTCTCCCAGGAAGTCAAGTTGGACAGAGCACCCTGTTCCTGCTGTTCTATCTTATGGTTTCTTGTGTGTTGCTAACAGAAAGGGGGGGGGTGGGTTTGATCCCCAGGCTCTGGGGACTCAACCCTGTCTCCTTAGACAGAAGGGGAAGGGAAGAAGTTTCCCTCTTTGCTTCCTTTCTTTGTGTTTTCCTGCTCATGCCCTGCAAGTCTCCTGGGTCCCAGGGTCCCAGCCTTGGGTGGGGAGCTGCTACCCTCTCCCTACCAGCTGCCCACTCCCTACCAGCTGCTGCTTCTGGTGGGAGGATTTCTGGAAGGGTTTCAGTGGGAGGTTCCAGATGGGCTAGGCAGCAGCCCACTTCAGAATGAAGGGACCTAGATTCAAATTCTGCAGTGCCCCAGAGGGTGACAGATGGGAAGTGTGGGGGCTGTTTGCTGCCTTGATTGATCTTTGAGAATTTCTGCATTGTTCACCAAGCCACCTAGAATACACATCGCTGCACTTCATCTTCTTCCTTTTCAAAATGCAGGCCCATCTACTTTCGGCTTTATGAGCTATGAGGAAGTACTTTTCACACCCCAGATTTTAACTTCTTACCTCCTCCTGTTCTCTTTCTTCTTTTCTCTCCTCCAAATGTCAGGGTTTTGGTCAGCCAAAGATAAAGGTAGAAAGGCTGTGTGTGGCTCTGGGCCACAGGGATGTGGTGCTGGTTTGCCTGAACTCTCCTGCTGAGCTCAGCCTTGGCTGGTCCACAGAGTCTAGATGTCCTGCATTTTATTTTAGTGTGGTGACTGCTTTTTCTCTCCACTATTTCTTGCTGTTGCCAACAGATGGAGGTCTCTGGTCCAAAGACTTCTTGGATCAGAAAGGGCCTGTAGGGAGAATCCTGTTGCTTTCTCAGGCCTCAAGGCCAAGAACTAATTCTCACCATCCAAAGGAGATTGTTCACTTGCTTTTATTTAAAAATCTTGAGGAATGAATGCTTTAAAAATAGTGCCATGTAGTCTTAAATATTCCCACAGTTAGGGAAGTCTTTTGAATGTCTAACCTAAAATCTAAGCTTTAACTAAAGGCTGTTTCCTGTTGACATATGGAGAAGGAAGACAAGATTCTTCTCACTTTATGGCATTTGCTTCTCTTCGTAAAGGATCTGCCTTTTAAATTTATTTTGTCATGTCCAAACATTCCTGAGCTTCATGATGGACGAGCTTTAACTATAGGCTCAGTGATACATTAGGCTGGTAGGGAACAAGTGGGGAGCCCATTTGTCCAGTGAAAGATAGACAAGATGGTTTATAACTGGATGTCTGAGAGTAAAATATGGACATTTGGAGGCTCTGGATGAAGGGTATGTGGGAATTCTTTGGGTCCGAAAGTATTTCAACTTAAAGGTTAAAATGATTTTTGTAAGAAATTATGTAAATCTTCCTTGTTTGGCTTAAAAAATTTTTTTTAAGTTTATTTATTTTCACAGAGAGGGCTCAGGAAGGGGAGAGAGAGAGGGAGAAAGAGAGAGAGAGAAAGAGAGAGTCCCAAGAAGGCTCTGCACTGTCAGCATGGAGCCCCATGCAGGGCTCAAATCCACGAACCTTGAGACTGTGACCTGAGCTGAAATCAAGAGTTGGATGCTTAACTGATTGCACCACTCAGGTGCCCCTTCTTTGTTTGCTTTTGAGAAGGTGATGAATGTAAGAACAGAGCTTAGCATGCTCTGGTTTCCTTTTCATTATATGGCTGCAGCAGGGTTGCTTCCCAGGGATGGAGGGACTCTGAACCTCACTAGAGGGGCTAGCGAAACCAAGGGTGGGTAGCCCTCTATGGGAACAGGGAGGTATGGCCATATAGATTTATCCAAGAAGCTACAAGGCTAGAGAGAGGCCAGCAGAGAAAGAAGAGGGGAGATCTGGAGCCCGGAGGGCAGGGAGTGCAGATACTCCTTGGGGCAATGGGGGTAGAACCCCTAGAGGACTGAGAATGGAGGCCAGCCTGGGGCAATTGCCAAAGGGCCCAATTCCAGAACCTGCTGCACCAGGAATTGTCAGCTCATGGGCCACTTTACCTTGGCAGAGCTTGCAAAAATACTTTGACACTTCCTTTCCCATCACAGCACAGGAGGGAGGCAAAACAAGCTGTCGTGTCCCCATTCTACAGAGGGATAGTGAGACCTAGCATGCTGATGCTGTTGGCTCAGGAACATAGTTTGCAAATGGAAAAGTCAGAATTCAAATCTAGGTTCCTTCCTTCTGAAGTGCACACTCTTACGCTGACATTTTACTGTCTCTCTAATAGCAGGATGGTGGCCTGGGCAAATCTCAGGGTAGGAATTGTCCTTGGCATTTTCCCTGCATGGACATCTGGCCTGTGTGTTTTGTCTCATTCTAGCTGTTCCCAAATTCTCCTCTATCTTAATGGTCTCCACTGGCCCACCTGTCACAGACTGTTCCTCCTGGTGGTGGGGGGCAACATGTCAGGACAGATGCTGAGTCAGGCCTCCTTGTGAATCAGAGACTGTAGTAGGCTTGACTTGGGACATGAAGGATGATGCCTTCTGCCAGCCTTGATATGTTGACTTCGTACCAGAACCTCCAGAGACTTCCAGCCACACAGCAGTTCTGACCCACTTTTGTTTGGCTGAGCTGCAGGGGGCACAGTGTGCAAATCTGCCAGCTTGCACCTTGAGGGCAAATGAGCTCAATTAAGTAGGCAGGTCCCAGTGAAGCTTTTCTGCAACGCCATTATTAATCTCATGGAGCATGAAAGAAAATATAACCTAACGTCTCTCTGCCCCATTTTCATCTATGGCAATGTTTGGGAGGGAGGATCATACAGAGGGATGTCTTTGCTGCCACATTAAGAGGCTAGTTTCCCCTCAGCCAGGATGTACTGTCTTTCTCTGTGTGTCCTTATTCCTCATGCCCACCCCCAGATTCCCCAGGACTCCACTCTGAATTTCACAGATTGCCATGGCCGTGGTTCATGGAAGGGCAGGAAGAGTGTTGTAACTTTGTTTTCTGAACTTCTGTTTTTTTTTTTGTTTTGTTTTTTTTTGTGTGTGTGTGTGTGTGTGGTGTGTGTGTGTGTTTTTTGTTGTTGTTGTTTTTTGTTTTTTTTTTTGGAACAGAGCAGCACTTTCCAGAGGTGATGCTGGGGGAAGAATTTCTTAGCCTCAGTCTGGACCAGGTGTGCAGCTTGATATCCAGTGACAAGCTGACCGTTTCTTCAGAGGAGAAGGTATGGCATGGGCCTTTGGTGAAACAGGAGCCTCACGCATGAGGCGGTTGTGGGAGGGAGTTGTGGTTTGGTGAGATATTTTTTTCATCTTCAATGGCAAAAAAGGATCTTATTTTTTGTCCTTTTAAATAATTATAAAAGGGCCTTCTGGCTTATGACTACTACCTTTGGTGTCTGGACCCTTTGAGAAAGAAATAACAGTGGTGATGATGATGGTGACAAATCTGCCTCCATTAACTTGATGTTTAGAGTTTCCTACGCACTCTGCTAAGTGCCTTCTTCTCTGTAGTTCTCTCAGCCTTCACTACAGCCTATGAAGCAGGCATTGCTATAGCCCCCACATTACAGATGAGGAAGATTAACTTGGAGGAATTAATTAGCTTGTCTGAGTTCGCTCAGCTGGTCACTGCAGAGTTGGGGTCTCCCAGTCATCTGGTCTTAACCACTGTCCCACCTGGCTTCTTGGGAGCATCACTGAGCATTTACGCCAGAGCAGGCCTTTGGGGAACATCTAATAGGGGATTGAAACTTTTACTGATGAGGAAACTGAGGCCCAGAGAGGGAATAGGATCTGCTGGGGGTCATGCAGTCAGTGACCATTGCAAAACTAGACCCTAAGTCTCTTGATACCTAGTTCCCTAACTCACCGACCATGCACCACTTCCTTTGTGCTGCAGGCTTAAGTTCTGCCCACAGATTTAGCTGCACCGTGACTGCGAATCTATTCTACCTCTAGGCCTTCTCTCTCACTGACCCTCTGCTTGGACTATTCTCCCCTTCCGTCTTCACCTGGGTGAATTCCAAACCAGTTCCCATTCTATTTCTCCCAGGAAGAACTTTACTGCAGGAGATGTAGTCTACTGTACTGAAAATAATATGAACTTTGGTGTTGGCCAGTAGGGTCCAAATCTCATTGCTAGTATTTACAAACTAGTTGGTGACCTTGGGTGAGATACTTTGCTTCTCCATCTGTTTACTCACATAGAGAGTGAGTGTAGTAACAGAGCGTATTCCACAGGGTGATTGTGGGGATTAAGTGGGATAGGGTGTGTAAAATGTCTGGTATCATACCTGGGACCTAGTAGGTGCTCATTCACTGTTAGCTGATTTTATTATGGACCATGCATCTGGAATTAATTCCTTTCTCTTATGTGTTCCTGGATAACACTCACCTTGTTCTGCTTTTAATTGTAATTAGTTCTGAGCCCATCTTACCTCCTTCATTCAACTGTAATTTTCTAGATGGTAGCAACCACATCTTATTCTCCTCTGCATCCTCAGAGATGCTCAGTAAATGTTTCTTGGATTGTCTTAGTCCATTCATAGTATCCAAGCTTGAAATCCTTTTCTGAGGAAAATATTTAAGGAAAAGTTCTTCCAAAGGATTTTACACTGGAGATGAATATCCAAGGGGCATGTGTCCAGAGAATGGGGTGGAATCATAAGCCCCAGCCTGTTGTCCTGCAAAAGTTAGATCAAGAAGAAAAGCAGTTGGGGGCGCCTGGGTGGCGCAGTTGGTTAAGCGTCCGACTTCAGCCAGGTCACGATCTCGCGGTCCGTGAGTTCGAGCCCCGCGTCGGGCTCTGGGCTGATGGCTCGGAGCCTGGAGCCTGTTTCCGATTCTGTGTCTCCCTCTCTCTCTGCCCCTCCCCCGTTCATGCTCTGTCTGTCTCTGTCCCAAAAATAAATAAACGTTGAAAAAAAAAATTAAAAAAATAAAGAAGAAAAGCAGTTGTTTAACTGAATCCATGGGCTGCCCGAAGACTTCAGAGAGATTTCCAGAAGGCACAACAAGCTGGACTCTCCCTTAGGCTCAGTGAGGCTTCTGTTTCCATTAACTGATATAAAATATCACCTTCAGTGTAAAGAATGCCTCTGGCCAGCCGGTGAGCACCTCTCGCCCCAGCCTCAGCAGCAAAGACTTCTTGCCAAGCCTGTTTAATGTTTTCTCTGGATTGTACTACTCAATTGGCACAATTTGATGGAATGAACTAGTTAGTTGACTGACCATGTGGTTGTCGGTGCAGTTGGTCAGTTTGGGCTCTGCTTGCGTATATCCTTAGGTATAGTCTGAGAAAATTTAAATAGCCATATAAGCAGCAGGATTTGAATCAACCTGGGAGTATTTGGCTTGAGAGGGGGGGTACCCTGCCACTTTAGCTCCGGTTGGCCCATCCATCCTGCTCTAGATCATAGTAAGCTTTCTTCAGGTGAGAGCTTATCTATCCTTGTTAAGTGCCAGGGTGGTGGTAGAGGTGGGTTGTCAGTGGGGCCAGGCTTTTTAGTGCCCTGGAAACCAGTTGGGCTTTGGACTTAGGCATACCTGGTTCTGTGTTCGACTTGATGCTTACTGGCTCTGTGATTTTCAGAAGTCACTGGTCTCTTTGAATTTTAATTTCCTTACATGTAAAATGGGAATAGTAAGAGTACCTCCCTTATAGAGTTATGAGGATCACAGATAAAAAAAAATCAAGTATATTGTTTGACAGGTACATAAATGGTGGCTATCAGTGTAATTAGCATAGTCTTTTGTTTTGAGGCACCATTGACAATGGTAATGGTATCAGTTTTGCCACTGATTATGGTAAAATAAGCCATGGAGTTAAATGTATCTTTCCAGAAGCAAAGAAGCATGGCATTAAATCTACATACTTAAAACATTGTCTGTAGTGGCTCTCATTCATTCATATGCCTACATATGATGAGTTGCTTGTTCTGTGTATTAGAGTTTGGAGTATGGGTATTATTTTTCACATTAATGAAGTTGTGTATTATATTTGGTTCTCAGAAGTTATATGTAACTTCAGAGTTATGTGCTGCTTTTCATAAAGTGGATTGCTGATGATCTTGATCCCTTTGGTACCTTTTATTTTTATTTTTTAAATGTTTGTTTGTTTATTTTGAGAGAGAGGGAGAGAGAGAGATCACATGCATGAGCAGGGAAGGGGCAGAGAGAGAATCCTAAGCAGGCTCTACGCTGTTCACCCCGACGCTGAGCTCGAACTAATGAACAGTGAAATCATGACCTGAGCCAAAATCAAGAGACGGATGCTTAACTGACTGAGCCACCCAGGTGCCCCCATTTGGTACATTTTAGGCTGGCAGTTTATTTATTTATTTTTTTATGTTTTATTTTTAAGTAATCTTTCCACCCAACATAGGCCTTGAACTCACTATCCCAATGTCAGGAGTTGCACACTCCACCAACTGAGCCAGCCAGGCACTCCCAAGGTTGACAGTATAATTTTGAGGCTTATCATAGAGCAGTGGGATTTGGCCTGAGATTTCTCTTTGGTGAAACCCATAGTTTCATTTTACCTTAATTGATTACATATTGTTAGAAGTTAAATAGCTGGAAGTTTTGACAATTAGATGTTTGTTGTTTGAATGTGAGCTCTTTAGGCTTTGAAAATTCTGTGATCTCCAGGAAATTTGGTGATTTCTACTTCCTTTAGGTACTTTCCATAATATGCAATGTTTTGCATGTGCAATAACTTTTTCTTTCAATATCAAATTCTAGTGAACTTATTGGAATATATTTGAAATATTATCAGGGATCTTAATTTAAGCTAAAATTCAACTGTGTTTAATGTTAACACTTGCAGAAAACTGAATTGCACTAGTAACGAAAATAACCTGTATTCAGCTGAATCCGTGCTTGAACAGCAAATCAGCTATATTATGACTTCTTTGCCTACAGCCCACAGGGTTCTTTCAGCATATATTAAAAAAGGCAGCCGGATTTCAAATATTAAAATGCAAAAAAACTATCTTAAAATAGGGTGAATGTGGTGTTTTAATAATGATGATTATAAGGGACTGTGGCTAAATCTGGTCAGTGTGCTTGTCGGGAGTTTGAAAGTACAGGTTTTGCAGTCAGAGTGGCTGGGTTCCAATCCTGCTGCCATGGCTCTAACAAGCTGAGTGACTTTGGGCAAGTTATCTGCCTCCCACCAGGATGTATGTACCATTTACAGGTACAGATTTTCTGTCTTATGGTCACTGCCAGTGTAGTATCGGGTTCACTGTAGACACATAAACAAAAACATTTTGTTGGAGGAATGAGTAAAAGATCTTCTCTATGTCTTAGTCTTCTCATCTATAAGAGGGGGTAATGATAGTATAGTATCTTCTAGAGTTGTTCTGAGAATGAAATCAGATGCCACGTGAAAAGTTCTCAGCCCACAGGAAGTGTCCATTCCTGTAAGATATGATTATTGCTGCTATTATTATTGCCGCTATACTGTTACTCCTGCTACTACTGCTGCTGCTGCTCACTGTGGACTGGGGCCTTTCTCAAGGGGAGGCTCTTCCCAGGACCCATAATGGTCTGGGTGGTTGTGTGATCTGGAGCTTGGTACGTAACAGGGGCTGAGAATGGAGTTGCCTCTTGCTTCCAGGCATTCCCAGGCCCCTTGGCCCTCTCTGGCCTTCTCCTAGGGCTCACATACCATTCTTCCTCCTACATCACTTGTGCCTGCTCATGCCTTTCTCCTCCTCTAGCCTCAAACTCCTTGAGGGCTGCAGGGCTACCTCAGCCATCTCTGTGTCACAGAGCCACCAGAGGCACTGTGGAGGTGCTAAGCAGACACTCCCTGAGGGAATGAAAAGGCAGACTGGAGCTGGACACTGCCCTGATCCAGCCAAGGTTATAGGAATAATTTTCACATTTTTCCAGAGAAGAGGGACAAATGTGAGAACAAGAGAGGTCAGAGGATACATGGATCTTTGCCATTTTCTCTCCTGTTTTTCCTTCATGTAGTTTTGGAAATTCCTGTTATTTGAGGGAAGACAAAAGGATCTGGTAGGAGTTACAAAATCACAAGTTCTTTGGGTAGAACCCCTCCCACCTCCCTCCCTCCCCCCGACTCCCCACCAAGATAGCGTGAAGGCACCCAGGAGTACACCCCGCACAGTCACCTATTGCTTCCACATGGCGGTGTCAGGGGTCAGAGCTAAGCCTGTGAGCAGATAGTCTGTTTATTGTATTCCCCGTTGAG